CACACCCAGACACACACACTGATACATCTGGACACACATACACACACACACACACAGACACAGACACACACACTGATACAACTGGACACACACACACCGACACACACACACACACACACACACACTGATACAACTGGACACACACACACAGACACAGACACACACACTGATACAACTGGACACACACAGCCTCAGCCTCAGAGACTTTACGACTGTGTGTGTCGTAGTCGATGATGCAAACATGTCTAAAGAGTAACACTCAACCAGGAACAAACAGGAAGTCAAACACAGACATACTCTGTTTGGAAAGCACACACACACAGAGAGAGAGACACACACACACAGAGAGAGACACACACGCACACACACACACATACAAATCCACATGCACTCAAAGACTCTCTGGTCTCCCTCTGGTCTCCCTCTGGTCTCTTTCTGGTCTCTCTCTGGTCTCTCTCTGGTCCCTCTCTGGTCTCTCTCTGGTCTCTCTCTGGTCTCCATCTGGTCTACATCTGGTCTACATCTGGTCTACATCTGGTCTCTAGTGTCTCTGGTCTCCCTCTGATCTCTAGTGTCTCTGGTCTCCCTCTGGTCCCTCATACTCTGGTCTCCCCATAGCCCTCAGTCCTGCCCCTCTGCGTCCTCTGCAGCTATATTTTACAGTATACACACGGCTTTTGACAGCTGCAGCAGCGCTCGGACCCACCACCAACAGGTTTTTCATATCTCTGGTCTCTCTCTGGTCTCTCTCACTTCATCAGTCGTGACGTGACTTCAGATGGTTTAAAAACTGTATAAAGTCTGTGTGAAGGTTTTTACCGCCTTAAAACCAATCGCTGCTACTTCAAGAATTTCACTTATCGCTGGTTATTTTTAGCAACTCTCAGGCCCTGAAAACAACTCAGAAACACCAAGGACAGAACACGCTGTAATCTCGTCTGTATCTTTGTCCTTTGCCGAGATATTTCCAACCGAGCGATGACCAAGATTTGAAGGAATGTTTTGTACGCTGTTTTCAGGGTCAGGCCTATTTTTGGATCTTCAGTCATAACAACGGCACGCTCGCAAACCGTCCGATAAGACGCCGATCGGGTGAGCTCAGCGGGTGGAATGCGAGGGCCTGTTTATGTGTGGGACAGACGCGGCCAACACAAACACAAGTACAAAGAACCAGAGAGAGAGAGAGAGTGATGAGGTCCAAACAAGATCATCTTGGGGGAGATGTGACACTGACGTCAGAGCTGGGTTTGGTGAGAGCTTCCTGTTGTAGAGATTTCCACACGGAGCAGAGAGCAGCCGGAGCAAAGGGGAGACTTTACTATACCAAAAACTGAAAATATGCACAAATATCAACAGTAGGCGCCTTCAAAGTGGCGTGATTTTGTGGGCGGGGCTTAACGATGGCACCGCTGGAGGTCATCAATCAATTATTTGTTTGTAGCAGCAGAGTTTGTGTACAAGGCAAATCAAAGTGCTTCACAAGAGCACTTTAAAAACACGGATCAAGATGGAAAGAGAAAGAAAAAAGACAATGACAGAGAAGTATAAAAGTCAAACTCAAAAGGGAGGCACTAACATGTCTCTATTTATTAGGTTATAAATGTATCTATCTTCAATGCTATGTAAAATAATGAATACTAGGCTCAATCACAGTCAATTATGATGACAATATATTCACAACAGTCAATGTGTATGTGTGTGTGTGTGTGTGTGTGTGTGTGTGTGTGTGTGGGTCACAAACTCATACCATTTTTATACGAAGCCACGAGCCCAAAATGCACTGCAAAAACAACACTCACATTACAGGGACCACAACAGAAGTCCTTTCATCTACTTCTTTCATCCAATCAAACACAATCACAATAACAAACATTAGCTAAAGCCATAACGTGTTTGAGAAACGACCGCAGCGCACGGCACCGCACGGCACCGCACGGCACCGCACGGCACCGCACGGCACGGCCGCTCATTCACACCGAGTGGCCTTCGTCCTGGTCCTGGTCCTCTGCTGCGTTTTCATGCTTTCAGTTCTCATTAAACCCACAGAAAGAAAACGGCAAAGGCCCCTCAGTCCCCACTCTGCTAAGCTAACCGCTGTATACACTAATGCTCTTGCTCCCACAAACACATTGGACGGTGGGGGGGGGCTCTCTCTGGTCGGCGTGTAATAAGTCCTGGCGGTCTCTGGGCTTCTTGTAATTGGCCATAATTAAAAAGGAGGCAGGGGCAGGCGGGGATCTTCCTTTCGAGGAGCAGGAAGTAGTCAGGACACGCCGTCGCTTCCTTTTACCGGGGGCCACTCCACCGCACTCTTTGAGCCTTTTTCCGCCTTTTCTTTTCCCGCCCTCTCTTGCTGTCACTCAGCATCTTTGTGGTTCTGTTTTGGGGTCTCCCTTTTTTGCAGTGCGGCAGGAGTAAGAGGAGGGGGAGGGGGGAAGCAGGCAGTGTAAAGTCTACCCTTTTATCCTCAAAGCCCCTCACTGCGTCTGTGCGTATGTGTGTGTGTGTGTGTGTGTGTATGTGTGTGTGTGTGTGTGCGTATGTGTGTGTGTATGTGTGTGCGTGTGTGCGTATGTACGTGCGTATGTGAATGTGTGGGTGTGTGTGTAGATATGCGTGTGTGTGTGTGTGTGTGTATGTGTGTGTGTAAATGTGTATATGTGTGTGCGTGTGTGTGTGTGTGTGTGTGTAAATGTGTATATGTGTGTGCGTGTGTATGTGTGTGTGTGTGTGCGTCTGTGTGTGTGTGTAAATGTGTATATGTGTGTGTGTGTGCGTGTGTGTGTGCGTCTGTGTGTGTGTGTGTGTGTGTGTAAATGTGTATATGTGTGTGCGTGTGTGTGTGTGTGCGTGTGTGTGTGTAAATGTGTGTGCGTGTGTGTGTGTGTGCATGTGTGTGTAAATGTGTATATGTGTGTGTAGGCCACGAACAGGACTTTACTATATCTCTGTGTGTGTGCGTCTGTGTGTGTGTGTGTAAATGTGCGTGTGTGTGTGTGTGTGTAAATGTGTATATATGTGTGCGTGTGTGTGTGTGTGCGTCTGTGTGCGTGTGTGTGTGTGCGTGTGCGTGTGTGTGTGCGTCTGTGTGTGTGTGTGTGTAAATGTGTATATGTGTGTGCGTGTGCGTGTGTGTGTGCGTCTGTTGTGTGTGTGTGTGTGTAAATGTGTATATGTGTGTGCGTGTGTGTGTGTGTGTGTAAATGTGTGTGCGTGTGCGTGTGTGTGCATGTGTGTGTAAATGTGTATATGTGTGTGTAGGCCACGAACAGGACTTTACTATCTCTGTGTGTGTGCGTCTGTGTGTGTGTGTGTAAATGTGCGTGTGTGTGTGTGTGTGTAAATGTGTATATGTGTGTGCGTGTGTGTGTGTGTGCGTCTGTGCGTGTGTGTGTGTGCGTGTGCGTGTGTGTGTGCGTCTATGCGTGTGTGTGTGTAAATGTGTATATGTGTGTGTAGGCCACGGACAGGACTTTACTATCTCTGTGTGTGTGCGTCTGTGTGCGTGTGTGTGTGTGTGTGTGTAAATGTGTATATGTGTGTGCGTGTGTGCGTCTGTGCGTGTGTGTGTGTGCGTGTGCGTGTGTGTGTGTAAATGTGTATATGTGTATGTAGGCCACGGACAGGACTTTACTATCTCTGTGTGTGTGCTCTGTAATTACTCCGGTCTGTTTGTTGTCGTGTTTCCTGCTGCAGAGAGACGCTGCTTTAATCTGAACCAAAAGTAAATTATAAGCGTCGCCGCCGCCGTTGCCGAAGACGCAGAAATGTGTTCAAATGTATCGCTCCGACTTTTCATCTTGATAACCGATACAGCCTATAATTTCAGCCGCTTCGCTTCAGGACGTGTGTGTGGTCCCTCTGTGATGTCTGAACAACTGAACAATGAACCAACCGCCAAAGTGAGAAGGAGAAAGATGCGTCTACGTTTTCAGTCCGACAGATTTTTAAAGGTCTGCCCAAAATGTCAAAAGTCAAATTGCTCAAATTTGGTAAAATGTGTCTTAATTTGAGCAAATGCTGACCAATCAAAATCTGCTGAATTATCTTGTTTTAAAAATAAACGTGAGAAAATATAGCAACTGTTCTTGAGATAAGACTAAATGGCTTTGTCCTATTGGCAAATTTTGTTTAAAAAATGTAGATTTAAGCAATTATTAGCTCATATTTGATCATTTTTGCAGTGGTCGAAAAGCTCTAGGGATTTCAATGATTCTTGCTCTCTTTCTGTGAAGGATTCAAACGTTATTTCACTTCTCAAATATCTATGAGTTTGTCTTCTATATGATATATTTAACTGAAATGTCTTAACAATCAGTATTTTATTATCCTGCACAGACGATATTTTTACCTTTTACTCAGTGACTGCCGTTGACGTATTTGTCAGAGACTGGTGATTTCTGTCAAACTTCCCTCTGTTGGACTGGGGATTACTGGAGAACAAAACTAGCTATAAACCAACTTTTTTTTGCTGATAAAAGTAGACAAATCAGTCTTTCAGAATCTGGTTTCATATTTTACACAGTCATAGTACACAATATTCTGTGGGTCTTGGAAGTCAGTGAAATAATCAAAAACGGCTGACAGTCAATGAGTTAACATGCACACTTCTGTCCTTTGCACAATCTGAGTGATTCTGACTGATTCAGTATGAGATGAATAATGTCTTATCTTATCTTATACTGGAAAATAAAAATACAAACTTTTGCATTCCACTGTTTGTTTGAGTGTTAGCTTGTTCTGTTAAAAATGTAACAAACAAAAATATTCCCAGAAGAGAAGGAGAGAGAAACCTGACAATGTCCAATGTTATATATAGATTTGTGTTCTCACTGTCAAATAGACTTGGTTCTGTTGGTAAATAACATTAATTTAATATATATTTTCATACTTTTTTGTACAGCGTGTCTACACATAAGTAATTAAAGGTATTGACATTTGTGATAAAAGTCTGAGTGACGAGTCTAAGCTGATATTTAGTCCGTACAGTCATGGAGTCATCAAACATGTTCTTTCCAGTCGCAGCAGCAGAGAACAAGGCTTCGGCCCACACCCTCCGTGCCCTCTGCAGGAAACTTCCGAACTCGAGCGAACCCTGCCGTCTGCGTCTGCCTCTTCTGTTCTCCTCTTGTCAAAAGATGGAAAAATGAGTTTAGGTCACGCAGAGCCCACGGGCGGCCGTAATTTCCAGAGGCTCCTCCTGTGGTCTTCACTCCAAAACACACAGCACAGACAGTGGGAGGACTCAACAGAGACCTTTGGCCCTGGCTGGGTTTCTCCGAGGTCAGCAGGGGTTGCGTTGCCATGTCTGTAGGACCAAGCACCTGGACCAGCGGACCGGGCCTGGTCTCTGTGTATGTGTGTAGGAGCCTCTGGGGACATGAATCAGGCACTTAGCGCAGAACTCCGCCTCTTCACTTACAGCCGGGAGCAGGGGTCAACTCTCACCCTTCCTCACATTTGTGTCTTCAGGACCACTCTCCCCCACCTCCCCATCTGAGGTGAACAAGGAGCCATTTCACCCACAGCAGACTCTATTGAGCGTACCTACTGTGTGCCGAGACACACTGGCCCTCTGTCGCAGCAGCCATAAACACCGGCCACACACAGGAACCAGGGCTATAGGTTACGAACAAGCGTCAATGCACACACCGCTGTTTGCTGCTGGGACGAAAGGCCACAGAAATGACCTGACAAACGGCGTATTCATCATAAAAATAATCAAAATGCATCGGTTTTTTACAGCGCTTTTTTGGACACTCAAAGACGCTTCACATTATTCATTCACTCCATACACGGTGGTGATAAACTGCTAATGTAGCCACAGCTGCCCTGGGGCACACTGACAGTAGCGAGACAAGCAGTATGTGCCATCTTGACCTCCGACCTTCACCAACCATGCACAGACACACCAGACTCATTCTAACGTAGGTGAAGTGTCTTGCCGAAGGTGTCATTTACAGCCTCACTGTGGCACCTGGTGTTCCCAGAGGTCTCCCATCACAGTGCTAACCAGGCCCGGCCTTGCTTAGCTTCAGAGGTCTGTCGAGATCTGGCTTTCACATGCTGGTGTTGATATTTCTAGTATGAACAACAAGACGCAAATGCAAAAGTCCTGGTATCTCACGACAGTTATCACACACCTGTGCTTCTGTCTGTATTTAAACAGTGCTTCACCTTGTGCTGCAACCCTCCTCCTCCACATCACCACCCCAACTGACTGTTCAGCTGATCACCATGCACCACCAGGCTCTGGACTACATGGGTTGTGTCGTCCTCTGTGTTTTTATTTCTATTCGTGGTATTTATGTTTTTAATCAGTTGTATATATTTTTATTGTTTTATACTTGGTGGCGCTACGGATACGTTTCTTCATATTTTTTTTTTGGTTTTATACTTGTTTGTGCAGCACTTTGGAAACCTGATTGTTGTTTAAATACACTATAAAAAGAAAAAAGATTGGATTGGAGTTTTATTTTCATATTCCCCCAATTATAATTCTCTCCATGTCACGCACTAAATCTTTTTCAATCTAGATGTTTATTCGTACCAACGGTGGAGAAACTTCAGCTTAATCTCAATGTGTTTTTATCCTGTCAAAATAAACAACATTCTAGCACTTTCTTGGGAAGAGATTGAATGTATTTGTCACAGAGAAAGCCACTGTTCTCACTGAAAAATGGCAGAAAAAGATAAACTTTCTATTGTGTAGTATTTTGCGCCGCACTGAAGAGTTCACGTTTAGTTTGGAAGTGAAAACCAAAAACACAATCCAGCCTTAATTGTACGTTTGTGCCCAGACTGTACTTAAGTATTTTACATGTCGTGAAGGTGCGAGAGCGGGCGGCGCGCAGTCGACAGAAAGACTGTTTTGTAACGTCCCAATTTAGAACGTTTAAATCTGTTTAAGCATGAGCCGAAAACGTCCCAAAGAAAGTGTGGATCAGTCGGATTTACACAAAGAACAGGAGCTGAACAGTTTGTCCTCACAAACTCTTTTTCTGTCTCTCTTTGGTCTCTCTTTGGTCTCTTTCTGGTCACTCTCTGGTCACTCTCTGGTCTCTCTCTGGTCTCTCTCTGGTCTCTCTCTGGTCTCTCTTTGGTCTCTTTCTGGTCTCTCTCTGGTCTCTCTCTCCGGTCTCTCTCTGGTCTCTCTCTGGTCTCTCTCTGGTCTCTCTCTGGTCTCTCTTTGGTCTCTCTCTGGTCTCTCTCTGGTCACTCTCTGGTCTCTCTCTGGTCTCTCTCTGGTCTCTCTCTGGTCTCTCTTTGGTCTCTTTCTGGTCTCTCTCTGGTCTCTCTCTCCGGTCTCTCTCTGGTCTCTCTTTGGTCTCTCTCTGGTCTCTCTCTGGTCTCTCTCTGGTCTCTTTCTGGTCACTCTCTGGTCTCTCTCTGGTCTCACTTTGGTCTCACTTTGGTCTCTCTCTGGTCTCTCTCTCCGGTCTCACTTTGGTCTCTCTCTGGTCTCTCTCTCCGGTCTCTCTCTGGTCTCTCTCTGGTCTATCTCTTGTCTCTCTCTGGTTTCTCTCTAGTCTCTCTCCGGCCACATAAATGAGTCTTATGGTCAATACAAGTCTACTGATTTCATTTTGTACTAAGGTCTGGATCTGCTCCATTGACTCTGTTAATAGGTGGGAGGGGTTAACTCCTTTTGCAGATTGAAACGATTGGATTTGGCATTTAGCATTTAGCCTAGCTTTAGCATTGAGCCTAGCTTTAGCCATTTCCTTTGCCACTAACGTAAAGTAAAGTACACGTAACTAACATCGCACTGAGGATGCTAACGTCGCTAACGTCGCTAACACAGCAGAGTGTGCTGTGTTTTGGTGACATCTGGCTGTAAAAGAATCTGTGGCCCCTGAGTCGCCCGGGGCCCAGAGCTGTTGACAGGGCCTCACCAGAGCCAAAACATCAGACCAACTGCCCCAAGCACTGATCTGACTGATGAGAGAGAGAGACCAGAGAGAGAGAGACCAGACGGAGAGAGAGAGAGAGACCAGACGGCGAGAGAGAGAGCGAGAGACCAGACGGAGAGAGAGAGAGAGAGACCAGACGGAGAGAGAGAGAGACCAGACGGAGAGAGAGAAAAAGAGAGACCAGATAGAGAGAGAGAAAGAGTGACCAGACAGAGAGAGAGAGTAAGAGTGACCAGAGAGAAAGAGAGAGAGACAGACCAGACAGAGAGAGAGAGAGAATCTGAGAAAGAGAGAGAAGGCAAGCAAGAGAGCGAGAAGGTAAGAAAGAGAGAGAGAGTCTCAGGCTGAGTTTACACAGAGACAATGTGGCAGTAAAACGGTATAGTTGGATGTCGGTTTCTACCAACCGTTCATACGAAGACTGTGTTCCAGGTGAAAACGTAAGTGTTCAGATCCAGCCTGCAGAGTGGGACAACTCAGAAACGCTGCACAGCGGGGGCTCTTTCACACCCGCGAGAGGGAAAAAGGTGTGAAATCCCCCTCTGCTCTGACCCCCACCTCCGCGCTGCTCCCCGCACGTACACTTGGACATGCGCAGTAGCGGAGAACAAACATCAACAACAATGGCGGCGGTCACACTAACTAGCTACGTGAGCTTCCAGCGCGGGACAGAGGATAATTCTACTCCTTCATTCGTCCAAACGAGACCACGCGAAGCTCTAGGTTCAGTTCCCATTTTCACAGATGCTGTTAAAATGCAGAATGATGTTGGTGCGTTCTGAGGGTCCGGCACAGGAAGTGAGTACACTGCCGAGAGGGGGGCTGGGCACGGGGCTGGGGGTCGTGTGAGTGTTGTAAAGTTTCTCTGCCCACTACTGGCCGGGCGCTAGAACTACATCGTTTTTCAACCTCATGTGAACGCAGAGAAATTTGCATTAGGAGCCTGGTCGTTTCTGTTAATAGCCTGGAAACGTCTGCGCAGCGTCTCAGTATAAACAGGGCCTCAGAGAGAAACCAACAGGTGTGATGTCTCTGGTTCCTTTCATGAAAATGCTTTGTTCACTTGTTCACATAATAATAGTTAAATAGTTAGATAGAACAGAGAGAGACCAGTGAGAGACCAGAGAGAGACCAGGGAGAGACCAGAGAGAGACCAGGGAGAGACCAGAGAGAGACCAGGGAGAGACCAGAGAGAGACCAGGGAGAGACCAGAGAGAGACCAGGGAGAGACCAGGGAGAGACCAGAGAGAGACAAGGGAGAGACAAGAGAGAGACCAGAGAGAGACCAGGGAGAGACCAGCGAGAGACCAGGGAGAGACCAGAGAGAGACCAGGGAGAGACCAGCGAGAGACCAGGGAGAGACCAGAGAGAGGCCAGAGAGAGGCCAGAGAGAGACCAGAGAGAGACCAGAGAGAGACCAGGGAGAGACCAGAGAGAGACCAGAGAGAGACCAGAGAGAGACCAGAGAAAGACCAGGGAGAGACCAGGGAGAGACCAGAGAGAGACCAGGGAGAGACCAGAGAGAGGCCAGGGAGAGACCAGAGAGAGACCAGGGAGAGACCAGGGAGAGACCAGAGAGAGACAAGGGAGAGACAAGAGAGAGACCAGAGAGAGACCAGGGAGAGACCAGCGAGAGACCAGGGAGAGACCAGAGAGAGACCAGGGAGAGACCAGCGAGAGACCAGGGAGAGACCAGAGAGAGGCCAGAGAGAGGCCAGAGAGAGACCAGAGAGAGACCAGAGAGAGACCAGGGAGAGACCAGAGAGAGACCAGAGAGAGACCAGAGAGAGACCAGAGAAAGACCAGGGAGAGACCAGGGAGAGACCAGAGAGAGACCAGGGAGAGACCAGAGAGAGACGGGAGAAAGATAAGAGAGGGCCCCCACTGTCGTCAGGACGGTCAGGCGGGGCCCTTGCTGTCGCTCTGCTCCTGGTTTTATCAGGATGATCAGGGGCCATTATGAGTCGACCCGAGGACTTTCTCTGGAGTAAAGTGGGGAACGTGATCCATCTGAGGCCCAGAGTAGATCTTGACTGCTGTGTGTGTGTGTGTGTGTGTATGCGTGTGTGTGTGTGTGTCTCTCTCTAGTCTTTCTCTGGTCTCTGTTTTCTCTCTGCTCAGTCTCTCTCTGGTCTCTCTCTGGTCTCTCTCCGGTCTCTCTCTGGCCTCTCTCTGGTCTCTCTCCGGTCTCTCTCTGGCCTCTCTCTGGCCTCTCTCTGGCCTCTCTCTGGCCTCTCTTTGGTCTCTCTTTGGTCTCTCTCTGGTCTCTCTCTGGTCTCTCTCCGGTCTCTCTCTGGCACCTTGTTTAGAGCTCTCCTTTCTTTCTCTGTGATGTTTCTGAACCACAGCCACAAAACCAACAAACAAACTTTCAATGGAGAAAAGTTCAGCAG